AACGAAATTAATCAATTCCCTTATGATCATGATTCTCAAGTCGTCATTGGCTAACTGAGTTTTAATTTGATTACGACAGCATGGTGGAAGATCCATTTGATTGGTTGTCGATCATCATAGTAACACCATATATGAAAATACAATCATCTGATTAAATTTGCCAGAAGTAACATCGAAGAATAAAAATCTACAAATTTATCAGATATATAATCAGATTCGTTAAGGATTTATCATATGATCGATTGCATTTTCACATAGAACACTTACTATATGCAGCCAATGAAATTTTAATGATCGACAACCAATCAAATGGATTTTCCATCATGCTGATTACGACATAACACACAAACAAATAAAAAAAGAAATTAAAAGCCAGGTACGTACCGGATCATCTTTTAAAATTTTATAAAAAAAAAAAATTAACTTATTTGGCTCTATATTTGTATATACGTATATCAAATAAATTCAACGTTAACTTGGTGTAAATTATTCAAATATGTGTCACATTATAATCTTCAAATAATTTAAAAAATTTACTATTTAAAGTTACTGTATTACTGTAGTTATTTGATTTACAAGAATTCCACATGGGAAATCTTAAAAAATTGTTATATCGATATGATTAGTACTATGTTCGTGCTCGACATGATATCTCACACTCTTACCCGGCGGAAATACTGTAGAGCTAATGCAACATACAGTATAGTAGAAGACTGATTTGCGATACTGATTTTAGAAGTGACTTTCATATAACTCCTTGTCTCGGATTTTGTCTTTTGATTAACAAGCTTATCCAAATTCCTGTTTTGATTAAGAAATTATGAAATTTATACGTATCGACATGACTTTTCACCCAATTTAAGATATCTTTACCAAAAAGGATTGTGTAAAGCGTTATTTTTAGATAGAAACGGTAAATTTTTAGGCACATAGCGATAGATGTTCTTAATTAATTTATCAATAGACACAAATTTCTTTCCTTTCTGGTATGATAAATGCATCATTACCACGCCAGTACGACGTATATATGTGGTTATATAATATAGAGTAGTACAATGCCAAACCAAAATGGGATTAAAGAAAATCCATAATGAAAGTCGTAATTGATTGGTATCAGGTATTATCCAATATCCTTCGATTAACCAATATATTTAATTGTTATTCACATTAATAACATAAATAAAATAAATAAATAATAAATGGATAAATAATAGTAAAGATTATTATTATGTACTTCAAAAGCATTCTAGGCCAAGTGTTTGGTATATATTTTGAATGGTTCTAAACTTTTATGCATGCATACACGTACATTCTTCTTAATATGCCCGACTAGTTGGGTATTTTTAAAACTAATAAGATTATTAAGACTCAAAGCATGTGTTACTATGGTTAATTATTTAGCTGCAAAATAAATCCACTAATATGCATCCTAGTACTATATATGTTTTAGCAGTTATGATTTGCACTTTTACGTATAGGTAACCAGATAATTCCGGGTATTTCTCCTAGTGACAAGAACTAACGAAAGTTTTCTTAAGTCTCTAAAATTAAAAAGGGATTTCTCTTTTTTTTAATATATATATGTAAATATATATATATATATAAGATAACAATCATTGTTTTTCATTCTTTATTTTGTAATAATCCTTCCACTAGCTATCGGCATTCGATCGACGACTTTTTATTGTGTTACCAACAAACGAAGCATACTTCAAAAAGAACCATTCATCATTAAAATAATAATAAACAACGAAGCAGCAGACAAATTCGACCCTTTCTTTCATCTCTTCGAAATTATTATTTCAAACAATTAAATAAAAGTGAAGGATTATAAACACATTATATGTATATATATAGGTTTTATACACATCGGACCTGTGATCTAAAAAACTTTGCGAGGGCTGGCTCCCTGGAAAACTTTCAATTCATATCTAAAAAAAAAACTGAACGCCAGCTTCAGTGAATTTATAAACCTTATTTTATTTAATTTTTTTTTACGTTTCATCGTATATATATATATATATATACATACATATATATATATATATCCTCTCGCAAAAATGGTCCACGCAACTAAAGAAAAAGAAAGTTCAACAGTACAAGTTGGTATGTAATAATAACTAACAAGAATTTGAAATAAAATTGAAATAGAATTTGCTGTATCTTGTGTTTATCTCTTTATTGTAGTATCGTTAATAAATAGAATAATCCAGACAACTATAAAACTCAAATTATCTATTTCATTTTAGCCCTTCGAATAAAGCCTCTCACAACCGATGATCTAGCCAACCTCCCATCTCGGTTTCAAAAAAATGTTCTTTCCACAACACAATTTGCCCCAAATCAAGTTATGGTGCATGGTGAAAAAAAACAATCTTGGACATTCGACAAGGTTTTTGGCCCTGAAGCATCACAAAAGGATATTTATGATCAAATAGTCAAAAATATGGTAGATAAATTTTTAGAAGGTGCGTTTTTTATAATCACGTGTAATCATTTGATAATAATCTTCAAGAAAAACTTTGTCCTTAGAAATTTCTTTGTTCTTTTTCGAATAGGTTTCAATGTAACCATTCTAGCATATGGTCAAACTTCATCGGGTAAGACATATACAATGGGTACATCAAATGAATATTCCCAATTACCAGAATCAAAGGGTATAATTCCAAGATCCATGGCTACTTTATTCTCTTACGTCAATTCGACACAATATAAGAGTCGTAAATTTGTCATAAAAGTTTCATTCGTGGAAATATATAATGAAGACTTGATAGATCTTCTCGCCGAAGGGGATTATGAGAGCAGACCATCGGTAACTATACGGGAGGATTCGAAAGGTAACGTAATCTGGAGTGGACTACAAGAAATTAAAGTAAATAGTATAGAAGAAGTCATGGGGTATTTATTTTTTTTAAAAATAAATTTTTTTTTTTTTTCTTTGATGCTTTTCCTTCATTTCTCATAAATTAATTGAATATATATAAACATTAGACATTTAATGCGTGGTTCAATGAGCCGACAAGTAAGCGCGACCGAAATGAATTCTCAATCATCTCGATCACATGCTATTTTTTCGGTTATGCTATCACAACAAAAATTTGTCACTGATTTTGGAAAAAAAAATAATGAAGAAGGAGATTGGGTTACGGTGACCAGCAAATTTCATTTTGTCGATTTAGCTGGTAGTGAAAGGGTAAGACGCCATGTGCGTTATTATTTTTCATCATATTTGGCGCTTAAAATAAATATATTTCGTTGAATGTTTTTTGTTAGCTCAAACGAACCTCGGCAATAGGGGATCGTGTGAAAGAAGGTATATCTATCAACTCTGGTCTTCTTGCGTTGGGGAATGTTATATCTGTATTGGGTGACCCCGCAAAAGCAAAAAATGCTATGCATATTCCGTATCGAGATTCAAAACTTACTCGTTTATTACAAGATTCTCTTGGCGGAAATGCCAAAACATTAATGATTGCATGTGTTTCACCAGCAGAATACAATATTAATGAAACGATCAGCACACTTAAATATGCAAATCGAGCTCGTAATATAAAAAATTCTGCCATCGTTAACAAAGAAGAACCTGGATGGCAAGATATCGAACATTTACAAAATTTAGTTCTAAAACTTCGTGCCGATATTAAAGCTTTGAAGGATTCTGATGGGCTTAATTCTACATCTTTTCAACCAGATGCTATATATTTACAACAAAATTATTTCGGTTATGAAACTACTGATTCAATTTCAGAGGAAAATAAGGATGTTCAAATACTTGAAGATCAATTAATGGAACTTCAAAATTCGTATATG